AATTATGGTATTTTATTACATAATGCTGCACACTAGAATGGAGGAGAGTTTGTTGGTTATTCCGATTCATATTGGATTGGTGATAAAGTTGGATATAGAAGCACATCAAGTTACATGTTCTTATTAGGTAAGTCATCGATTTTATAGTACTCGAAATTATAACCTGTTGTGAAAATTTCTTTTTGTGAAGCAAAATACAACATGCCTACTACATACACAACTTGTAAGGCATTTGGATTGAGAGTTTGGGGAATCAAGTACTTGGTATACCCGAGAATGCTATAACTTTGAAGATTAATAATAAGTTAATTATTAATTTAGCGAAAAATTTAATTCATTAAACATATTAAAATAAAATTTTATTTCATTTTAAATGAAGTAAGTAGGAAGAAGTCTGAAGTTAAAACATCATGACAAAGCATGTAGACAATTGAAGATTGAAATATTGAGGACAAACTTAAATATAAAATTATTGAATTAGGAGATTATGTTGGATAATAATGATTGATTATGTTGGAATGTTAGATCCAACTAACTTTTTAGTTTTTTATTATAAATAACCGTTTGATAAAGGGTGTAATTAAGCATATTATGAATAACACTTTAATTACTTTCATTTTTCTTTTATATCTCTCTTAATATTATTTTTTTCTCTTGATATTCTGTCTAAGATTTTTTTTTCTATTAATATTAAGAAAGTAAAAAAAAGTGAAATATCAAATATAGTTATTTATTGTTAATAATTTTAATTATTATTATTTTTAGTATAATTTTTTAATCATTTATTATAATACTAATAATAATAAAATAAAATAATATTAATTAAATTTATATTTTATGATCTCTTTGTAAATAATTGATTATGTATAAATATTAATCAATTACAACTGAAGGATATGATTATGTTTATTTTTAGATTTTCCACACTTTTCTTCCGTAGAAATAAGAAGAATCAATTTTATAATTTTGTGTAGTTTCCATCATTGAAAAATCTTTCTTTTCAATTGTGTTAGTTTCTCATTGAGAGTGTCCAACCCATCATTTGGTGTGCCCTCAAGAATATCTCGCGGTTGATAAGAAGAAAAAAAACAAGACAAAAAAATAAGTTAAGAGCCTGGCTAGTTTGAAGAAAAAGTTACTTCTTTTTCTAATATTTGTTTGATTAAAATAAACACAAGATTTTTGAATCCTTTGGTATTACTTCAATCTAATCTATAAACAATGATTTTGCTTAAAAATTCTGGTCACATTAATTTTAATTAGAATTCACCTTAGATTTTGTGACTAGCACGAGTAATTAAAGCTTGATGATCATGATCTAAAGATGATACTTTATTTCTCATTCATTAATGACGAAATCAATTATTGCAATTCCTAAAAAAGGAGTTTATTCTGCAATGAAATGATCTGATAGATAGTTGTGTATATGTTTATTTTTCAACACCCTGCATGAACTTCATCCCAACTATTCTTTTCCAATAAATTTAATTTATTTCCATAGCCTTCATTGTCTTAATTAATGCGAATGTGATGAGTATGTCATAATTAATTTAAAAGTATGTTTTATTTTTAAAGTTTTCATTCATATATGAAATAAAAAATATATATATAAATTATTATTAATTTCAACTCTAAACAACATAAAACTAAGAAATAAATAATTTAATGTTTCTAACTAAATCTCCTTACATGTTCCATAAATCTTTTTAGAAAATACTATAAACTGAAATGGTGCATATTTTAAATAGCATTTAAATATAATTTGAATAATCTTCCTTATGATAACAAATATCGGTGATAATAAATATTATTAGTTTTATGATATGTTTTGAAGTGATATGTTTCTATATAATCATTATATTTGAAATTATGTAAGTAATGATTTGCATGAGACTTTTTAATATAGATTATATATGAAAAAATTAACTAGATTTATATCTGATACTTAAATTTTACATAATGAGTGTATGAACATGTATGTAATGATTTTCGTGAATTTTATATATATCATATTCTTTAATTAATAATTCTCTCTTTTAGTTATCATAAATTTTCTCCACTTAATTTATGAAAATTATATTTTCTTTCTCTCATTTTTTATTAATAAAAAGATAATTATAACATAATTCTCCCCTGTCTTGTAGATATGAATAAATTCCGTTGAGATGATATATTATAAATTATAACAATTTAAGGAAATTATAACATTATAAATATTTTTAAAATTTAAGTACATAAATAAAATTAATTTCAATTTTTAAATATTATAATTTGAGAGACAAATTTTAATACATTTATATATTTTAATAAATTAATATTATTTTTAAATTTTTTAAACTATAAATTATATTTAAAGCTCACTCTAAATTTTATTATTTTTATGGTGTTCTTTTTTATATAAACCCAAACTAAACCTATTACTAAAAAGATAAAATTTAATTAGTACTCAACATTTAAATCCCAAGTTAATTATGCATTTAGTCAAACCTCATTTATGCTTTTACAATTCACATATTAGAGTCAAACCAAAAACTTAGATTCAGTTTGTGGTTTTAAGTGAATGTTAAACTCACTCAAAACCTTTGCATTTTTAGTTAAGTTTATATTCAAGGATGATCAGATTAAGTTAAAATAAAAATTAAAAAAAAGTAAAATTTAATTTGTGATTAAAATCTAAAGCACAAATCTTACCTTTCATCACATGATATTAAGTTAGGTCATCAAACTCAAACTATTTGACCTCTTCTAATTAAGATTGAATTAGAGAAAAGTGAGAGAAAAGGTAAAGAAAAGTAACATTGAATATAAAAAGGAAATAAGACAATTTTTAAAAACTTAAAACTAAAACTATATATTTCTTTCTAAATATTATGGTAGAACAATTTTAAAATTCATTTAAATATAACAACAAGTTTTTATTAAAATAGATTTTGTTTCGCAATTCGCTCCCATTACTCCAAACTGGAGCTCAATAGTAAAGTTTAATGGAAAATAATACGTGAGTACGAGTTTGAATTTTTGTTTTTTAAAAAAATTGACGTTGGACCGTGGAACTGGCGGAATAATTTATATTTAAATATAAATTTTAAAAAATATTAATATTTAAATTTTTTTTATTATATATAATTTTTTATATTTTTTAACTTATTTTTTATTTTTTTATCCAATCGATTTATTACATTTTTTTCTTTTTTTCTTTCACGTAATATTTAGTATTATTAGGTTTTGTTATATATTTAGAAATATTTTATTATTTTTATTTGTCTTATATTAAATTTTATTTTAATAAAATAATTATATTTGAAAAATTTAAAAAAATCAATACTTAAAATCTTTATTATTTTACACTAATTAAATAAAATTAACTTATTAAATATTTTTTATAAATTATACGTTTTATATTTATCAATGTTTAAAAATGACAACTTAACATATATTAAATTATTAAATAAATAATAATAATAATAATATTATTATTATTATTATTATTATTATTATTATTGTAATAAGTATTTTATATCTGTATAAAAAATATTAAATATTATATATATATATATATATATATTAATATAAAATAATAAATTAAAATATATACTTAATTAATAATTATTATAAATATTTATTTTTATATAAAAAGTAATATATTAAAAATATTAAAATTAATTTATTATAAGTATAATATTTTTTAAAAAATAATGTATAACGAGAAACAGATTAATAACATATAGAAACATAAAACTCAACGTAAGAAAGAAAATTAAAACTTAATTTATAATTTCGGATTAAAGAACGGTTATGAAAGTGAATGACATGCCTACTGCTACTTTCCTATTCACTTAGTTTCAGTTTACACTTATGCCTCACCTTGACTTCATTTCTAACATACTGGATAATTTTTGTGAAAGGACTTGGATGACACTTTCAAAGACAAACAAACAAAGAGCAATGCCAAAATGGGGCATTATTGGAGACACTTGGACTGCCCTTGTCACTTCTTTAGGTGTTTTCTCTGGATTTATTATGGGACATTCTATTCTTATCTCATGTTCATCACAGAATCATAAAAATCTAATTTTTATCATTATCATGGATTGATTTAATTGACATGTCAAAAACATTTCAATATATGACAGATTTTATGACACAAAGATAAACAAGAATAAAGGCACAATTTGAAATAGTTACTAAATAGTGTTCCCCAGCATATTTCAGTTGATCTCATCGTACAAGCATCGATCTATGGTATATGCTTTGGTGACTGATGCAAGGGGTGATTTTCACAAGGTTTTTGACATTCACAGAACCTTCTCATATGCCGGAAACTAATCTTACTTTATTAACCCAACAAAGTCCAAACATAAAAAATCTGCTAAAAAATATTATGGGAGAGCAAATCTGTTATGTTGGGACAAGAACATTTGAAAATTTTGAAACCCTAACCTTGTTTTGTTTCTCATCTCTTTTTCTTTTCTCCATCTAAACTGTATTATTTTTGTTCAGAGGGTTTGTAATAAAAAATGTCCCTTCTGTAGCCTTGTTCTAATATCCAAAACCTTCTGTAATAAAACATTATTTTCAGTTACTTCAAATACAAAACCTGAGATATAACAGCATGCAATAATATTAAGTTTCCAATTAAATCTCTGATTATAGTTTAAGCTATAATTACTGATTACATGTGCATGTTTCAACAGTTTCTAGTAACTGAGTGGAAGATAATAAGCCAAAATGCAAAAAAGTCAGTTTCATTGTGAAGTACGTCTTGTAATCTCCCCCAGAATGAAAGGGAAAGGTCTGTACGGTTCTAAAGTTTGTTTTTGAAGAGAAAAATAAGGTAAAAAAGAAAGCCGAATCGTACTTGGAACAAAGGGAAGCAACAAGCATTAGAGGCCCCAAATATCTCACTCTCAACTAAGCAGATTCTACACTCAGTTTGTTATAAATGCATGCGCTGGCCAATGCTGCTATGCATGCACCGATCGAACGCAAAACAAAGCCTCATGAATGAGAAGATGGGAAGCAAGAGAAAAAGATGGGAAGGTGAAGGAGGGGAAATGAAGAGTGAAGAAGGGAACATTGAATGGGAAAAACTAAGGGAAGAGACAGCATCCATGGCTGCTGCTATACTTGGAGCTAGAAGAGCTAAGAAACGTTACATTGGAGTGAGACAAAGACCTTCAGGGCGATGGGTGGCTGAAATCAAAGACACCATACAGAACATTAGACTTTGGTTAGGCACTTACGACATTGCTGAAGATGCTGCAAGAGCTTATGATGAAGCAGCACGTTTGCTTCGGGGTGCCAACACTCGCACAAACTTCTTTCCATCCCAATCTTCTCCTTCTGTTCCTGCTCTTCCTCCAAAGATTGCCAAACTCCTCCTTCTTAGGCTCAAAGCTAGAAACTTTGCCTCTTCATGTAGGGTAACCACTCCTTTTCCAAGTAACCACTATGACCAAGAAACCAAACTAGAACCTCAACCTCAACCTCAACCAGAACCAGAACCTAAACCCAAATTTTATCACCAAATAGAAGAACCCCACTGCGGGGATATTGTAGACATGGTAGGAAACGGGGCTGTAGAAGAAGGTTATTATAGTGCTAGTTTTAGTTCTTCTGCCATAACTACTTGCGACTATAGTTGTGGTACTAATGAAGAAAATTCTAACCAAGACGGTAGTGGGGAAGATTTTAGCTTCGAGTATCATTGTGCTGAGAATGTTTATGATGAAACCAAGCAGAGTGTAAGTGGTAAAGGAGAGTTTGAAGCTTGTGATGTTGGCATACGTGATTTTCAGTTTTTAGACTCTGCTGGATCATTGAGCTACTCTTTTTCTCCATTTGAGATAGCAGAGGAGATGGTGGGACCCATAGAGGAAAACAAATATTATGATGTTGATGATTCGCCATTAGGTAGAGAAAGTTTCAGGATGGAGTATGAACGTAAATTCTCTGCTTGTCTTTACACCTTAACTGGGGTGTCTGAGTGTTTGAGGCTACAAATTGGACCAGAAAATGGAAAGGAATTGGAAAACTTTTGACGTTATCAGAATGAGGACAGCACAAAGGAGGAATAAAATGAAGAAACGTATAAAGAACAAGGAGCAAACAGCGACATGCAGAGGCACTAACCTGACGAACAGAATTTTCTTCCATTCATTTGGAGCTCTCTTCTTGATTTTCATTGTAGCTAGGCAGCAAATAAAATTGGAATAGCATGGATTATTCTTTTTATCTTTTATAATAGAGGATGATTCTTTAATTTCATTATAAACAAAGCTAATGCAGGATCTATGGCTTTCTATCCTATGAATTCCTAATCATGTTACGGTACCACTGTAGTTGAATTGAAACAGCTACAAAATTTTGTACGAAAAAATCCTCATAAAAGTATTACTATTTATATTAAAGAATTATCCTAAGAAATAAGAAAAAAATAATTAATAATACAAAAATATAATGTCAAAATTTCAAAAATAAAAAAAAATTTAATAATAATCAGAAAATAACATTATAAAATTTTTACTGTCTATAAAGACATTCACATTAAATTTAAATTAAATCTTATAACTCTGTTACAAAAATATAAAGAAAAGTAAAATAAAGTGTATTTGACTAAGATAAAAACTTTCGCTTTAACCTTAATATATAACTACTATTACCCTTTTTTTCTTATCCAATCAAATGTAAAACTTTTTAAAATATAATAAGATTCGCATTTTAGCGGCAGAAAAAAACTAAAACTAAAAACTTTACTCAATCGCTTGTTTTTACACTATAAGAAAATTTAACCATAAATATAACCTCGTTCGTAAATTCTTAAGTCACGGGAATATTTCTACCCACACAAAAATCCATCGAAAAATTTGTACAAAAATTTCATGCAATTTTGTGGGAAAACAATATATGATAATATTAATAAATACGATAATAATTTTAACAAACCCGTTAATAGATTAAGTACACAAATTATTAAAACGTAAATATAATGTCCATATTCCTAATCTTATAATGAAATTTAATGTAAAAAAAAATTATGTAGAGAGAGGATATTATGATTTTATGTTACTATCATTTGATATAATTGTTAATTTTTTTAAAATTAAATATTTAAAAATAAAATGTAAAATTTTAAAAAATAAATTCTACAAAATAAAATATAAAAAATATTAAAATTATAATTTTTTTTATAAGATAAGTAAGGATCAGGTAATGTTTTAATTTATAAAACAAATATTGAAGATTTAATTGAAAAAAAAAATCTTATGCAAGACTAAAAGTTATCTTTACATAAAAAATATATAATATTAATTAGATATCAAATAATAAATTATAAATATAATTTGCATTCTTAGTTCTAAGGAAAAGCATTATATAATTATTATATAGATTAAAATTCAATCATTATCGAATAATTTAATTATTATTTATATATTTATTATTCTATAAATAAGTTTTTAATAGTTTTTCATCAAAATATAAAAATTAATTCATTAAATAATTCATTAGCTATGAAAGAATTTAGCAGAGATAAAAAAATAGACTTAATATATATATATATATATATATATATATATATATATAATTAAATTTTATATTCCTAGCTTAAATAACAGATGTTAGAGAGGAAAATATCCATTGAACAAAAGAAACTAAGGAACAATTGAGTCACAAATTTCAATCTTTCGATCTTAGTGTAGTTATTTCTTCCTTCTAACGCACAAATTCTTCTTTAACATACCAATTGAATGAGAATAAACCTAACCAAGAAATGACCATAACGACAAAATGATGAAGATAAGGAAACTGATAACTATCAAATTCTTCTCTTGATTATTGAAACTACTAGACAATATTAAAAATAATTACAATAAAATAAGTTTTTCATTCAATAACAATGACAAATACTTGTGTTTAGTATAAATAACATATATTGTTTGATTTTCATTTTTATTAATTACTCCATTAAGTATTTAATCATTATCATTAAAAAAATAACTACTTTTCTGTCAGGTAAATCAGTGATATTTATAATGGTTTTAATTAGAAGAAAATTTGATTTCAGGTACATCATGATGATTGATTATATATGTGTATTATTAGAGTGGTCATGTGAAATTTTTTCATGATGAATTTTGGATAATACATGGATGAATTATTTTTACAGTATTACCGGAAGACACTTAAAATTAAACATATAAGCATACTTGTTGATACATGTGACATAAAATTAGTGACTTTTAATTGTGATAATTAAAAATTTAATAAGATAACTAATAATATATGAAGATCAAATAAAATATTTTAATCATATTAAATACAAATGTCATAATTATTGTAAAAAAAACATATTTTATCCAAATAATTATTAACATGGAGGTTTACTATAGTTGACACTTGTTTTTTTTTTTAACTTGATATAATTTAAGTGTTATATGAAATTATATTTGAATGATTTGGGACAAATTTATTTTTCAATAATTGTAGTTGATAGATTGAATCATAATTATATATTATGATTTATTAATTATAATGATTGTTGTATGATGTTTATATATATACAAGAATTTTTAGTAACTATCAATAAAAAAAACCGTTGATAAACTTTATTAACAATTATCTTTTCAGTGGAGTTTGTCCATTGATAGATTATTGAAAAAAAAACTATTTATTAAAAAAAAATGGTTATTTATAAAATTTGTTTGTCAGTAATGCAATATTTTTTTTCTATTTCAAGAAATACTTCTTATGATAATTATTTTACATTTTTTATGTTGATTCTAAAATTATTTAAGTTATATAAAAAATATATTTTTCATGTAAATTATTACATAAATAATATATTAAATTTTACTTACTATATTAATTATTTATATAACTATCATAGTAAAAAAAATTATAACCAACGAAAAAAATACAAACAACTAAATACAAACATCTTCCACATGATAAATAAATTGAACATGGTAACATTTTTAAATAAAACAATAGTATGGCAACTAATACTAGAGTGTTAATATAGGTTGTAACTTGTAAGTTAATCCGGTTCATCATGGGTCATTTCTATCGATAATGGGTTAAAAATAAACCTAACTTATTTAACCCACATGTTAAATGAATTCGAACTGGGCTATGGTGGGTTGATCCGCAACCCACCATTATTTTTAATTTTAAAAATAATTATAATAATTTAGTAACCTACTTGATGATATTCTATCTCTCCACTTCGATTTCACGTGATTGTTATAAGTTAAACTTTTACTCAAGTTTATCATAAATTATTTGTTTCATCAGTGTGTTCACCGTTGCACCTGAACCGCTTGTCATCCTTTTGTTGCACTATTATGCCACCATATTTATATTTATTGCGTTTGTCGCGTCACCATGTTTCAGTTATGTCACATCGTTGTCGTGTTTCAGTCGCATCACAACGTTTGTTGTGTCACCGCACCACAACATTTCAGTCGAGTCACAACTTTGTCGTATCACTAAGTTCGTCGCACCATTACATTTGTCGCACCATTACACCACCATGATTCGATTGTACCATAGCGTTTAAGTTGCGTAACAATGTTTGTTGTGTCACTGCGTCATTGCATTTCAGTTCTGCTTATTAAAAAAATGAATAACAAAAAAATAAGTGTACGTTAATGAATCAATCCACCTAACCCACCAACCTATAACATGTTGAGTCGGGTTGTCAAATTTTGACTCACCATAAAATAAACTAGGTTAAACTCACATATTTTCATATTAGTCCGTAGTGAGTCAACTTGTGTGAGTCGAGTTGACTCACTTTGACACCTCTAACTAATATAATATTTGCAATTACAATATTAATTATTAGAATAATCGATATAGTATATAAATACTACATTGGTTAGACTAGTAATCAATATAGTATTAAGGATGAGAAACTACATTAATTGTCAGTTCAATTGAAGTAATATCCATGTACTGCATTGGTTGAACTAATAACCCATGTATATGGTAACCTAATGGTGCAAATTATTATTCTATCCTCATTAACATGATATCATTCTCTTTTTCTCCTTATTAATATCAAGTCTTATAGTTGTCCCTCCCCTTAGTATCCTTCACTCTTGTTCGTATAAGTTTCTGTAGAGTTTTACTTCTATCGTAGTTGTCTCTCCCTTGGTCATACTCATTCTTAGAGTCATTTGTGAGTTTCATATAAATGTGTACCTACCTCATGATTACAACATTTCTTTTATTAGTCTTATACCCCTCAAGCTTGGCTATTATAAACCAATTTCCCTTAAAGGATGTCATTTTAAAAATTGTTGGAAATATTATGTCTAATAGGCTTAAATAGTGCTAAAGAGAGACAATAAACTCTCTTAGGGGAAAAAGGAACATACTTGAGGGCGTTTAATTACAAAAGAATGTCCAACAAGCAAAAGTTAAGCATAAAGAATGCTTTGTCTTTAAAGTTGACTTCGAAAAAAGATTACAACACATTTAGGAGGGAATTTTGAATGTACATGGTCTTTAAGATTTTTCAAAAATTGGTTAAGTTAATCATCTTTTGTTTTGGTCTTAGTCAATGATTGTCCAATAGAGGATTATAAAGGATTAAAACAAGGTGAAAGGTATGAGTAATCTAGTTTGGGAGGCAAAGGGAAAATGACTTATTTCCATTGTCGGGATAAAACTTTAATATTTTTCATCTCTTACCCCATTTCAAATTTGAGCCTCTTGACCTAAACCTAATGGGAGCCGCAAGAGATGAGAAGAATACATTGAGTGATTGGTGACGGTGCGACGCAATGGCCTACAATGGAGGAGTGGGGGTTAGGTGCAGTGAGTGACACAATTAGGGAAGGAGGACGTGGTGGCTCCGGTGAGGGCGATTGGGGGCAGTGGTGAGGTGTTGTAGTTGGTTTAGGAGGTGAAGAGGATGTTGTTGGGAGAAGATGAAAATGGTGACTAGGAGATGAGGTAGAAGATGAGTGGAGGGAGAAGCGAGAGTAGGGGCCTGTTAGAGTGGAGGAAAGGATGAAGTTGTGAACGGAGAGGTGAGTCGAGATTATGGTCATGGCTAGGCTATGGTAGCCATCGGTGGTGCGGTGGTGGCCGCTGGTGGTATGGTGGGCTTATTGTGGTGGTTGCCGATGAGGTGGTGGAGCTCGTTGTGATAGTCGTCGGTGGTAATGGTAAATGAGTTTTTTTGTTTCTTTTTATAATTTTTATTAGTCATTATGAAATATGTGCAATATGTTTAGATATACAACAAATACTTCAGGCTACAATTGGGAATTTGGAACAGGGATACAAATACTACTACAAATTGTTGCCTCTGTTGATTGTTGCCTCTGTTGAGTTTGTTTGTGATGTTTTTTTTTTTTTTGTTTTCCCTCTTTTTCTTTATGTTCTTCTTTTCATCTGAAAACCAAAAGTTTTTTTTTTTCCTTTCCAGCCTTGACGTCTCCCTCTCAATTTATACAAGCCTGGTAACATGCTGGAGCTTAGGGTGGTTGTTTTTTTTATTATTATTATCTTTTTGGTGTTTACCGTTGCCCCTCTTTAATTAAGTTTTATTGGATAAATTGAATGTGAATTTATATTATCATAATAAAATATAATTAAAGATGTGAACACCAAAATACTGCAAATATAAATAAAATTGTGATTTGAAAAGTTGAAAACTTGAGAATGGACTCGAAGATCCAATATTACGATTGAAATATGCAAATATAAATAAAATTGTGATTTGAATAGACTCAGGGATATGCAAATATAAATAAAATTTTGATTTGAAAAGTTGAAAACTTAGAATGGACTCGGGGATCCAATATTATAGTTGAAATATGCAAATATAAATAAAATTGTGGTTTGAAAAGTTGAAAACTTGATAATAGACTCGGGATTCAATATTATGATTGAAATATGCAAATATAAATAAAATTGTGATTTGAAAAGTTAAAAATTTGAGAATGGACTCGGGATCCAATATTACGATTGAAATATGCAAATATAAATAAAATTGTGATTTGATTGTGATTTGAATAGACTCAAGGATATATGCAAATATAAATAAAATTGTGATTTGAAAAGTTAAAAACTTAGAAGTGGATGTGGGGATCCAGGGCTCGGGGACCAAATACTATGATTTGGAGTGTTGAAAGCTTAAAAATGGGCTCAAAGAGGTATTTAAACATTAAAAGTAATGCATATAATTTAAACCCTAAAAATAAGGGGCATGACCTAACAACATAAATATTTTCCGCACTCTTTAGCTATTGGCACGAATAGTCTAGATAGATGTATATTGAATGAAACAAAGATTAAATGGGTATTTATTCTTAATTAACAAATAAAGTGCATTACATGTGATTCACAAATAAAGTATGATATGTAATGCATAATGTTTGGTGTATGATATACAAATTCATGATAGGTGCATGATGCATGTATTTTTGACTAATGATTTTTGTTTTATTATTATTGTTGTTATCATTATTATTTCATATATATATATATATATATATATATATATATATATATATATATATATATATATATATATATTATGCGCATTTTCCTACGCCTTGACCTCTTAAGATTTTGAGAGTATTAAGATTCATGGAGGGAATTAGTTTTTGAAATGTATTTTCGTTCTAAAACATGTTGAATTCATCTTCTTCAATTGGATCATGGTTATGATTTACTATTTAAGATTTTGAATTGTCAACAACTAGTCGTTCTTGCCCACATCACTTCATTTTCGTTTTTTTTTCAAAATCATCACATTTTCATTATAATGCATTATTAACATTATGATATGTTCCTTTATTGGTATATTCATGAAGAAATGACACAAAGAGGTGATGTTCGAGACAATTTATTTTTATTGCTAGGAATGAAAAAAGTGCATACAGGAACAATTTTGTTTAAAGAATACGTAATAATACAAACGTAAGTGACAATTTGAGGGTTTTTGGGTAAAAATGTTAATTCTCATGTTTACAATTTTGAAGAGATCATCCGCCAACCTTTGCAAACATATGACAATTTGTTGTTTCATCCCTTGAGTAACTTTGTGTATATTAACCTTCTAACTTGCCCCCTCATTTTTTTTGAACTTTCAGCATTGTAGGTTGCTCTGACTTTTACATAGACTATCTTATCAAGTTTTCAGTCAAGTAATAATTTTTTTTCCTAAACTGCTCCTTTTGAGTTTTTAGCTTAACAGGTTGTTCAATTTTACCCAGACCGTCTTTCCAAATTTTCAACCTAGCAAACCCTTTTTTTCTTTCTGTCTCCTTTTTTATGCATAGTATTTCTTAACTGCGTCAGAATTGATTAGGAGTGATAAATCTTTACCATCCATGTTTGAAAGGACAAGGGAACCTCCCGAAAAAACTTTTTTTACCACATATGGTCCTTCATAATTTGGCGTCCACTTTCCTCTTTGATCTTTCTGGATTGATAAGATCTTCTTGAGGACCAAATCTCCTTCATGAAATTGTCAAGGGCGGACCTTCTTATCATATGATATTTTTAACCTTTTTTTATATAGTTGTCCATGACATAAGGCGATCAACATTTTTTCTTTAATAAGATTCAATTGGTCCACACGAATCTGGATCCATTCATCCTCTTCAAGTTTTGTTTCAGCCAACACCCTTAGAGAGGGGATTTCTATTTCAACTGGAAGCACTGCCTCCATCCCATACACCAAAGAATATGGAGTTGCTCTTGTAGAAGTTCGAATAGAAGTGCAATATCTGTGTAGTGTGAAGGGCAACATTTCATGTCAATCCTTGTATGTAACTACCATATTTTGGACAATCTTCTTTATGTTTTTATTTGTTGCTTCTACTTTGGTGATGAATTATGATGTTGAATCTTAAAATTATCACATAACTCTTTCATCATCTTGTTATTCAAATTAGTCTCGTTGTCCATAATGATCTTGTTTGGCAAACCGTAGCAACAAATTAAGTCATTCTTGATGAACTTAATCACTACATTTCTTGTCATACTAGCATATGATGTTGCTTCGACCCATTTGGTGAAGTAATCGATTGCCACTAAGATGAAGTGATTTCCATTTGATGCTTTAGGTTCGATTGGTCCGATTACATTCATACCCCACATTGCAAATGACTATGGTACAGCCAAAACATTTAAAGATGATGTTGGTGCATGAATATTATCAGCATATGTTTGACATTTGTGCCATTTGTGACATTTTCTTACATAGTTACAACAATCACTTTTCATGGTTGACCAATAATAGCCAGCTCTTAGGATTTTCTTTATCATTGCATGTCCATTTACATCTGTTCCAAATGAACCCTCATGAATTTCTTCCATTATTTTCTTAGTTTCGACTATGTCAACATACTTAAGCAACATCATGTCATGATTTTTTTTATATAGCACATCACCATTAAAAAAAATCTCATTTTCAACTTCCTCAATGTTTTCTTGTCATTTTCTGAAGTATTAGGAAGATATTTTCTATCTTTCAAGTATCCTTTGATGTCATAGAACCATGGTTTTCCATCTAACTCTTCCTGTATGGTTTGACAATATGTTGGTTTATTTTGAACATTGAAGATAAAGTAGTTAAAGCATCTGCTAACTGATTTTCCTCGTGAGGGATATGATGAAAGGTCACTTCATTAAATTATTCCAACAATCCCTTAATATAGGAGTGATATGGGACTAACTTTGAATCTCTAGTTTCTCATTCTCCATTAAGCTGGTGGATGACTAAGGTTGAATCTCCAAATACTTCTAGTACCTTGGCCTTGAATTCAAGAGTTGCTAGTACCCCCATCGCACATGTTTCGTATTTTTCCATATTATTTATGCAATCAAAATTTAGTCTTGCAGTAAACGGGATAATTTGAATTTTAGGAGAAATCAATACTGCACCAATTCCATGCCCTAATGCGTTAGATGTTCCATCAAACATCAAAGTCCATTTTTCTTCATTTAATGTTCTTCTTTCTTCAAACAATAATAATATGTTCTCGTCTGGGAATTTATGTTTGAAAGAATTAATGGTTGAGTTCAAGAGGGGGGTGAATTGAACTTTAAAACTTTTTCGCAAAACTTACTTTCTTTTGGAAGAATGAGTTATCTTTATTCAATCTTTGCGAAGGTAGTTTGGTTTAAACACAGCAAGTTTATTGACAGAAAATAAAAGAGATGAAAGAAGAATATTAACACACAAATTTATACTGGTTCACTCTAATCCAGAGCTACATCCAGTTCTTGACAAACTAGTCAAGTTTCACTAATACCAAGTGAAAATTACAACCAGTAGATACTCACCAATCTACCCTAAGAACTATCTTGCAAAACCTACAAGACAGAATCTTGAAAACCACCCAGTAACCAAACCCAGTTACTGTACCAAGTGCAGATTACAATCCAACCTGCACAATCAAACTTTTACAAAAGAGTATGGAAAGAAAAAACCTGGACTCGAAGTTTCTAATTGTCCAGAACAAATTCTAACAGCATTTTCTCTCTTTGAATGACCACAATTCTGATCACAACACCTTATGATATGAAAAAGATTCTTGAATGCAGAGAAAGTCACGTATGAAAGTTTCACAGATTGATTTCACAAGTTTTCTCAAGTAGTGTGTTGTTTGTATATTTCAAAAGATAGATCAATTCTGTATATATAGAGTAAATCAAAAAATCAGAACGTTTCATTTGTTAAAAACTGTTTCAGAGAGTCAAAAGATAAGTTGGTTAGCAGTAAAATAGTTTTAGAAGAGACTCTGATCGATTAGAATAGAAGTATGATCGATCAGACCGAGTTATGATCGATCAGACCGAGTTATGATCGATCAGAATGAAACTATGATCGATCAGATCGAGTTATGATCGATCAGAATAAAACTATGATCGATCAGAATAAATTTCAATCGATTAAAACGTCGATTCAATCGATTGATTTCATTTAAAGCTCCATTTCAATCGATTGATTCGAGTTTTTAATGGATTGAAACAACTTAATGAAAAATGACAGCTTTCTGTTTCAATCGATTGAAAATCATTTCAACCGATT